CCGCTCCTCCGGTACCCCCGCCCCCCCCTGGTCATGCCCCGTTAGGTGTGTCTCACGCTACCCCTCTACCCTCGGTCGCGTGTCAGGTAGCGTCTCCCTCCCCGCAGTCCTCCTCACAGTCCCCTCAGCAGCCTTCTGCACTTCCGCGACAGGTTACTGCGGACTCAGGGGGTGTTGGAGCTGGAGGTGCTACCACTGGAGGTACTTGGTCTGGGGGTGCCCGTTCGAGAGGTGCTGGAGCAAGAGGTGCTGGCACTGGAGGTGCTAGTTCTGGGGGTACTGGAGCTGGAGGTGCTGGCACTGGTGGTGCTAGTTTGGAGGTGCTGGAGCTGGAGGTGCTGGCACTGGAGGTGCTAGCTCTGGGGGTGCTGGAGCAGGAGGTGCAGGCGTTGGAGGTGCTAGTACTGAGGAGACTGGAGCTAGAGGCACGACTACTGCGGCGCCCACTGCGCCTCCCCATCGCTTCGACACGCGTCTCCAGGCTCTTCGCCGGCTTGAGCGCGATGAGCAGGAGCGATTGGAGCAGGAGCGGCAGGAGCTGCGGCAATTGGACCAGCAGGAGCAGGAGCAGCAGCAGCAGCAGCAGCAGCAGCGGCGGCAGAAGCCGCAGCAGCAGCGGAAGCAGCCACAGCAGCAGTGGCAGTCACCGCAGCCGCCACTTTTGCAGCAGCTGTTCCCTCCAGTGAGTGGCCTTCGGGCCCTTGGTCTTCCTTCCTCTCCTCCTGTCCACTCACTGTCTCCTACCGCGTACGGTCCTCCATTTCCTCTGGACTCGGCTCCGGCTGTCTTCTCTCCTCCTCAGTCACAAACGCCTCCTCCTGTTCTCCCGCACGATAGGACTGCTCGCTGTCCTCCGCGTGCTCGTCCCTCGTCTCCTTTTGACGACCTCTGCACTGTTTTGTTTCGTTCTAGTCATTGTCGTGCTCCGCCTGTGTTTGTTCTCCCCCCACCTCCTGCGTCGTCTCTCACTGTCTCCTCTCACCCTATCACTGACTACTATCGTGCTGCTCGTCCTGTTGTGTCGCGTGTTCTCGCTTCTCTTGTCACCGACCCTCGTGCCTCTCCGTCGTCTGTCTCGGCTCTTACTGCCGCTGTCGCTGACTTTGCTTCCACCCACCGCCTTGACGTCACCACGCGTGTAGTGGCTGCTCCGCCTGCCCGTCCTCTGTCCGCCGGGGGTGAGTTTGCCCTTGGCTGTGACGTCCTAGAGGACAGACAGTTTGAGCTGGAGTTCTTGGCAGCTGCTTCTCCCTCTCTCTGTGCCATGCTGCTTTCCCCTGAGGGAGACCCCGACGCCCTTGACATACCGACTCCTCGCACGTACCGTGAGGCAGTGTCAGGGCAGTGGGCCTCTCAGTAGAAAGCGGCCATGGACTCAGAGATGGCGTCTTGGAGATCCACAGGCACTTACGTCGACGCAGTTCCCCCTCCCAGGGCGAACGTAGTCGATGGCATGTGGCTCTTCAAGGTGAAGCGGCCGCCTGGATCACCACCTGTGTTCAAGGCGCGCTACGTGGCTATGGGGATTCAGTCAGCGCGAGGGAGTTGACTTCTTCCAGACCTTCGCCCAGACCCCGAAGATGACTACTCTTCGGGTGTTACTTCACGTAGCTGCACAGCGAGACTACGAGCTGCACTCCCTCGACTTCTCCACTACCTTTCTTAAGGGCCGTCTGCACGAGGAGATCTGGCTACGACGTCCTCCTAGCTTTACTGACACTTTCCCACCTGGGACCCAGTGGAGCCTGAGGCGACCAGTCTACGGTCTCCGCCAGTCGCTCCGTGACTGGCACGATACTCTTCACTCCACGCTTTGTGACCTTGGGCTTCGTCCTTCCTCTGCCGACTCGTCGCTGTTTGTTCGCGCTGGTTTCACTCCTTTCTTTATACTTGTCTACGTCGACGACTTGGTCTTTGCTACACCAGACAGGGGAGCTCTGGCTGAGGTGAAGTCCGAACTGTAGAAGAGACACACGTGCACTGACCTCAGTGAACTGCAGGGCTACCTTCGTCTGCATATCACCAGGGACAGAGCCGCTCGCACCGTCACACTGACTCAGTTACACATGGTGGAGCAGGTCCTTTGGCGGTTGGGGTTTCAGTTCTCCACCACACAACCCACTCCTCTTGCCGTTGACCACAGACGCACTGGCCCTTTTCCCAACGAGCCCTTTGAGTCTAGTGGTCCCTACGCAGAGCTTGTGGGTTGCCTCATGTACCTGATCACTTGTACTCGACCGGACCTCGCCTTTCCCCTCAGCGTCCTCTCTCGCTTTGTTGCGACTGGGAGACACCGTCCTATTCACTGGACGGCTGCTTTGAGGGTGGCAAAGTATCTGGCGACTACATCAGGCATGGGGCTTGTACTTGGAGGGACTCAGCCAGTTGTGTTGACCGGTCATTGCGACTCTTCCTACGCCGACGACGAGGAGAATTAGCGCTCGACTCAGGGTTACTGCTTCAGTTTGGGTGCTGGTGCTGTGTCGTGGAGGTCTACACGGTCATTATCTGTGGCTTCGTCCAGTGCAGAGGCAGAGATCTACGCTGGTGCCATGGTTGCGCAGGAGCTTCGCTGGTCGACCTTCTTGCTCGCCGACCTTGGCGAGCGGCCTCGCTCTGCACCTGTTGGTGCAACCCTACGGTTTGCACTCGGCTTGTTGTCCGTGTGCGTGAATGTGTGTGTGTATGGAATGGTATGAGGGCATGGGATACTATATATTTCATGCTTATAATTGTGTGTGAATGTTGAGTCATGATGTCGAGTGTGTGTGTCGAGTCAATAGCGAGTTATCGCTAGACGCGTGTTACGCGGTCGTTTGTGTCTCGCGCGCGGTTTCTATTTTGTCGTGCGCGGTTTCTATTTTGTCCTGTGTCGAACGTTCGGCGTGTCGCAGGTGTGTGCAGCAGACCCATCAAGAACTCAAGGATGAGTTTGTGATGAAGAGCCCGAGCCTTGGTGTCAAGCCTCAAGTGATTTCGAAGCTTGCCAAAAGGGTACACCTCAAGATATTGAAGATAGTTACATTACTTTGTGTAGTGTAACATTTCACTTGGTGTAGGCCCTAGTGAAGGGTAGTTTCGAGACCCTTCGTGGTTGGGGACAGTGTGGCACTGTTCCACATCACTGTACCTCGGCTCTTGGGGTTTGTAGGAGCTGGGAGTCATTCCCAACTCGTAACTCTTCCTATCTTGTGTTCTAAGACTATAGTGGCTGCCATAGTACCGTTCGTTCAAACCGACGCTGTGTCGTCAATTCTTTATCAAATCGTGCAATCTAAATTGCTAATTGTAGACGACGTGAAGACGCTCCAGATCCAATTTGAATCAATTCATTTGCAGCTGTGACCAGAACGCTATCAACGTTTGAAGCCGCTGTGCAGAAATCCGTCTGTGCTCTCTATCTTTCGTTTTAGGCACATTCAAGCCTATTGTGACTATAACAAGTGGTATCAGAGCCCCTTGGAGCAGTTTCGACAATGTCTGGACCTGAGGAAAGGGGTGGCAGAGGTGCTGGTGGCAGTGGAGAAGCTCAAGCTCAAGGCCAACCCCGTGATTCAGCCATGGCGCCCATGCAACCAAGTCTTGGCCCACCTAGGGATGAGCCTAGGGTGTTTGGGCTTGACAAGTTCAACGGTGACAACTTTGCTGAATGGTCCTTCAAGATGGAGAACATCTTTGACTACTATGACCTGCTGGAGGTGATGGAAGGAACGGAGAAGCGCCCCGAGAACGACCCGGAGAAGAGCCCGTGGGTGCGGAAGAGCGCACAAGGCTATCTCTTACTTGGGCAAGCGTTGGGGAGCAGTCAGATCCGTCACATCAAGCCATTCCAGCATGAACCAGAGAAAGGACCAAAGGCATGGGCTGCTCTCAAGGGTGTACATGCTCCTGCAACATCGGCGGTAGCGGTGGTGTTGGAACGGCAAATGGCGGCACTACGAATTGAAGAAGACGAAGCGGTTGAAGAAGGGGTGCAGAAATTCTTCGACTTGTTGACGCGGCTTGAGGGAGCTGATTTGAACTACAGTGAGCTCCAAAAGAAGACCAAGTTGCTGGCCTTACTCCCAGAGTCATGGTCCTCGCTCATCATCAACCTTAATCGCGACTTGCCCCGCCTCTCGCTTGAAGACGTGAAGCGAGCTATCCTTCAAGAGGATTTCCGCCGCCGTGAGTTGGCGAGTGCGGATGGCGCTGGGGCAGCGAGCATCGGCCGTGGATATGGTCGAGGAAGAGGCAGAGGACGAGGGGGAGGAAGGTTTGGTGGCAGCAACTTCGGCGGAGGCCGCAGGAGTGGCGGTTACGGCAGCGACGACAAGAGCTACGGACGCGGTCGCGGCCGATTCGACGGCGAGTGTCACTATTGCCACAAGAGCGGAGACATGTGGCGCGACTGCTACAAACTCCCTGATGGTTGGACCCCTGCTCAAGGCCAAGAGGGTAGAGGAGCAGGAGGAGGGAGAGGACGAGGCCGTGGAGGCCGTGGCGGTCGCGGTGGCGGAGCTGCAAACATGAAGAGCGGAGACAACGACAAGGACCCGAGCGACGATCGATACCCGGGTCTATTCTACTTCGTGTCGACGCAAGTACCGGCTGGTCCAGAGAAGGATGAAGGCTTTGAGGAGCCAGCAGCTGTGGGGAAGGTGACCCTACACCCCCTGGACTATTGGGTGATTGATAGTGGCGCTACCTATAGCATGACACCTCGCCCGGACTTGCTCACCGAACTCGAGCCGTCACCGGTGAAGCATGTCACATCGGCTTTGGGGCAGCGAGCAGAGGTGAAAGGCATGGGCAAGGCCATGTTCAAGGGTGCTGATGGGAAGATGGTGGGCCTCAAGAACGTGCTTTGGGTGCCCAGCCTTGCTGCAAACCTGATTTCCGTGCGGCGGTTGGCAAAGGCCGGCATGGACACGAACTCGAAGGGAGCCAAGACCTACACCGCAAGGCTTGGCGATCGAATTCTTTGGGACCTTCATGAGGACAGGGATGTCTACAACGAGATGTGGCAGATCCCAGTGGTCCCTATGCCTAAGGAGAGGCAAGTGGCAGCAAGCATCAGCACCAAGGATGGAGCGGTCGGTAGCGACGATGGCGCGAACGGTCGCGCTAAGGAGAATGAGCTCAAGAAGAGCAAACCTGGAGGGACCAGCAAGTTCAGTGAACCTAAGGAGAGTGGTGCAGCAACCAAGGAGCAGCAAAAGGGTGAGGAGAACCCAGAGGCAGCAGCGGAGGAGGACTACGGAGAGAGTATGTGGGGCGCTATTGCGAGCGCGGCATTCTCCAATCCAACTTCGGCTACGGGGGAGTGTGATTGGCTCACCTTGCATCGGCGCATGGGGCATGTGGCCCTGCCCATCTTGCAGCAGCTAGTGAAGAATGAGATGGTTGCTGGCATACGTGTGAAGGGGGAGCCCGATGAGGTGCTTGGCTGCCCGACGTGCATTCAAGCCAAGTTCACCCGGTTTCCGTTCCCTAGTTCGGAGGCAACGGCAAAGGCACCGCTTGATGAGGTGGTGATGGACGTGGTGGGCCCCCTGAAGCTTGGAGCTGCTGGAGCTGAGTATTTTCTCACCATTGTCGACGTCTACACCCGCATGACTTGGGTGTACGTGCTGGCCAAGAAGAGCGACGTGGCTGAAACGTTGAAGACGGATTGGTTCCCGATGGTGGAGCGGCAACAAGACCGTCTAGTCAAGTCAATCCGCACCGATCGAGGGGGAGAGTTCCTGAGCAAGGAGTTTGGGTTGTGGCTGAAGAAGAATGGTATTCGGCACTCCCTCACCATGCCATACTCCCCTGCAATGAACGGCATCGCCGAGCGAGCGAACCGCACAATCACGGAGGCGGCACGCGGGTTGCTCATTGAAGCCGGGCTACCCGACTATTTATGGCCTGATGCGGTGCGGAGCGCGTGTGTGGCCAAGAACAGAGCCTTGACTCATGTGGGAGCAGACAAATGGGTGCCCTATGTGGAGTGGCTAGGAAGGAAGCCAAAGGTGGATATGCTTCGAGTGTTCGGGTGCATGTGCATGGCGCTCGTGCCTAAGCATCTTCGGCACAACAAGCTTGGTGCCAAGGCGGTGTGGGCCGTGCACTTGGGCATGGCTCAAAACAGCAAGGGATGGCTTCTTTGGGACCCATTCACCAAGAAGTTCTTGGTGAGCAGGGACTGCAAGTTCATGGAGAACTTCATGTACAAGGATTGGAAGGCGGAGAATGAGGCGAAGATAGGCGTGCGGTTTGGGGAGGTGAAGAGTTCCGGTTTGGAGCATGTGGAGCTGCCTTTGGAGCTGAGCAGCGGCAGCACAACCACAAGGCAATCCTCCCTTGTGAATGGGGGAGAGGAGGCCAATGATGCAGAGGAAGAAGAGGAGGAGGTGCAGCAAGTGAGCGAGCGTGCACCGTCACTCCCTTCCCGTACTACGAGTGCTCCACGGATTCGAGCCACACCGCAGCAACGCCAAGGCCTTCAAGTCCCTGCAGCTGAGGAGGAAGGAAGGGGGAAGAGGAGAGTTCAACCCCCTAATAGGCTGACCTATGATGCGCCGGGAAAGCAGGGCAAGACAGCCCTGGCCGGAGCGGCAATGATGGTCGGAGACGACGAGGAGAGTGACTACGAGGAGTGTGCCTTCGCGTTCTTCTCTCCGGTGGAGATGCCGGGAGAACCAGCAACTCTCAAGGAGGCTTTGGAGAGTAGTGATGCTGAGGAGTGGAAGAAGGCCATGGAGAGTGAGCTGAAGAGCATCGAGGAGAATGACACGTTTGAATTGGTGGAGCTACCGGAGGGGCGTACGGCGATAACGTCCAAGTGGCTCTTCAAAATCAAGTCGGATGCCGACGGCAAGATCGAGCGCTACAAGTCTAGGCTTGTAGCCAAGGGGTACCAGCAGAAGGAGAAGGTGGACTTCAAGGAGCTGTTTGCCCCTGTGGTGAAGCCGACGACGCTGCGAACCCTATTCGCGGGAGCCGCCATCAAAGGATGGGTAGTAAAGCAAATGGACATCGTAACGGCATTCCTTAACGGCATCCTTGAGGAGGAGATTTTTATGGCGCAGCCAGAGGGGTTTGATGATGGTAGTGGCAGAGTGTGGAAGCTGAAGAAGGCCCTCTATGGGCTGAAGCAGGCCCCTAGGCAATGGTACATGAAGCTGCGCGAAGTGTTGGAGGGGATCGGCTTCACTCCCTCAACGGCCGATCACTCCTTGTTCATGCTTGGCGAGGGGGAGCAGAGGAGTTTCATGGTGGTTTATGTGGATGACATCCTCATTTTCTCACCCTCTTCTGACCTTGTGAAGGAGGTGATGCTGAAGCTTCAAGACAAGTTCAAGTGCAAGGCCCTTGGTGACGTGAGCTTCTACCTTGGGCTCCACATCGAACGAGATGTGGAGAAGCGGTGCATGCGGGTGCATCAACGAAAGCACCTGGAGGCATTGGCTGCCAACTTTGGGCAGAGTGAAGGCCATGTGGCTACACCCTTTCCCTCTGGGTTCAAGTGTGTGAAGGGACCAGAGGAGGAGAGCGTTGGTGAAGAGGAGAGGCGCCGATTTCACTCGTTGGTGGGCAGCCTCATGTATGCGGCGGTAAACACCCGACCGGACGTCGCGTTTGCTACCGGGCAGCTGGCTAGGGTTGTGCAATGCCCTAATGAGGAGCAGGTAGCAGCTGGAATGAGGGTGGCCACGTATCTTGGCCAAACACCGACCGTTGGGCTGCAATACTTGGCGGCGGCACAAAGGCGCCAAAAGGGCGCGGATGGTGTTGAACCCGGGCGTTTGTTCCTCACCGCCTACTCGGATGCTTCATATGCATCAGAACCAGAGGACATGACAAGTGTGGGAGGCTTCATATGCTGTGTTGGTGGAGGCCCAACTGCTTGGGAGAGCAAGAAGCAGGTTGACCAAGCTTTGAGCTCGGTGGAGTCCGAGTACATGGCACTCTTCCGTGCCGTACGGGAGATTGTGTGGCAGCGGCGTTTGTTGGCTGAATTGGGGGAGGAGCAGCAAGGACCTACCCCACTGTACTGTGACAGCCAGGGTGCCATTGCTCTTGCTAAGAACCCTGTGTTGCATGGACTCACGAAGCACATGAGGGTGAAGTGGCATTGGACGAGGAGCATGGTAACCGCGGTTGAAGTTGAGTTGCGCTACGTGAAGACCACGGGGCAGCCGGCTGACATGATGACCAAGAGGCTGGTGGAGCAGCAGCATTGGAAGTGTTGCAAGCTGGCTGGGATGGCTCTGAACTGAGAGAGCAACATATCCTAAGGCCAACAATCCGAGGGGGAGTTTGTTGGTGCAACCCTACGGTTTGCACTCGGCTTGTTGTCCGTGTGCGTGAATGTGTGTGTGTATGGAATGGTATGAGGGCATGGGATAATATATATTTCATGCTTATAATTGTGTGTGAATGTTGAGTCATGATGTCGAGTGTGTGTGTCGAGTCAATAGCGAGTTATCGCTAGACGCGTGTTACGCGGTCGTTTGTGTCTCGCGCGCGGTTTCTATTTTGTCGTGCGCGGTTTCTATTTTGTCCTGTGTCGAACGTTCGGCGTGTCGCAGGTGTGTGTAGCAGACCCATCAAGAACTCAAGGATGAGTTTGTGATGAAGAGCCCGAGCCTTGGTGTCAAGCCTCAAGTGATTTCGAAGCTTGCCAAAAGGGTACACCTCAAGATATTGAAGATAGTTGTGTAGTGTAACATTTCACTTGGTGTAGGCCCTAGTGAAGGGTAGTTTCGAGACCCTTCGTGGTTGGGGACAGTGTGGCACTGTTCCACATCACTGTACCTCGGCTATTGGGGTTTGTAGGAGCTGGGAGTCATTCCCAACTCGTAACTCTTCCTATCTTGTGTTCTAAGACTATAGTGGCTGCCATAGTACCGTTCGTTCAAACCGACGCTGTGTCGTCAATTCTTTATCAAATCGTGCAATCTAAATTGCTAATTGTAGACGACGTGAAGACGCTCCAGATCCAATTTGAATCAAGTCATTTGCAGCTGTGACCAGAACGCTATCAACGTTTGAAGCCGCTGTGCAGAAATCCGTCTGTGCTCTCTATCTTTCGTTTTAGGCACATTCAAGCCTATTGTGACTATAACAGCACCGACCTTGTTTGGTGACAACAAGGCCATGATCCTCATGTGTCAAGAGCCTCGACTGGAGAGCAGATTGAAGCACATTGACGTGAGGTACTTTCTCCTGCGAGAGTTGCAGCGACGCAGCCAGGCACGCTTGGACTTTGTGGCCTTAGAGGCCAACACTGCAGACGTCTTCACTAAGGCCTTGGCGCCTGGTGACCACCGCAGGTTCTGTGTGCAGCTAGGGCTTGTTGAGGCAGGCCCTCGGTTGCTGAAGCCTTGTTGTTTGCTCTGCTTGTTTTGCTACTTTATATCCTAGTGAACTCTTGGACTCCTCGCACGTACCGTGAGGGCGTCAAGGGCGTCGGAGTCCGAATGTCAAGGGCGTCGGGGTCTCCCTCAGGGGAAAGCATCATGGCAGAGAGAGAGGGAGAAGCGGCTGCCAAGAACTCCAGCTCAAACTGTCTGTCCTCTAGGACGTCACAGCCAAGGGCAAACTCACCCCCGGCGGACAGAGGACGGGCAGGCGGAGCAGCCACTACACGCGTGGCGAAGTCAAGGAGGCGGGTGGAAGCAAAGTCAGCGACAGCTGCAGTAAGATCCGAGACAGACGACGGAGAGGCACGAGGGTTGGTGTCAAGAGAGGCGAAAACACGCACGACAACAGGACGAGCAGCACGGTAGTAGTCAGTGATAGGGTGAGAGGAGTGAGAGACGACGCAGGAGGTGACGGGAGAACAGACACAGGCGAAGCACGACGAGGACTAGAACGAAACAAGACAGTGCGGAGGTCGTCAAAAGGAGACGAGGGACGAGCACGCGGAGGACAACGGGTGGTCCAGTCGTGCGGGAGAACAGGAGGAGGCGACTGTGACTGAGGAGGAGAGAAAACAGCTGGAGCCGAGTCCGGAGGAGGAAACGTAGGGCCATACGCGGTAGGAGACTGTGAGTGGACAGGCGGAGAGGAGGGAGGACCAAGGGCCTGAAGGCCACTCACTGGTGGGAACAGCTGCTGTAAAAGTGGCGACTGCGGCAAACGCTGCTTCTACTGTGGCTGCTGCTGCTGCTGCTGCGGCTGTTGCTGCTGCTGCTGCTGCAGCTACTGTTGCTGCTCCTGCTGCTCCTGCAGGTCCAACTGCCGCAGCTCCTGCCTCTCCTGCTCCAACCGCTCCTGCTCCTCACGCTCACGTCGGCAAGCCGCCTAGAGAAGTGAGTCGTGGCGGTGGGGAGGCGCAGTAGTAGTGCCTCCAGCTCCAGTCTCCTCGGAACTAGCACCTCCAGCGTCAGTACCTCCTGCTCCAGCACCCCCAGAGATAGCACCTCCAGCGCCAGCACCTCCAGCTCCAGCACCCCCAAAACTAGCACCACTAGTGCCAGCACCCCCCAAACTACCACCTCCAGTGCCAGCACCTCCAGCTCCAACACCCCTCAAAAGAGCACCCCCAAAACGAGTACCTCCCGTGGCAGCACCTCCAGCTCCAACACCCCCTGAGTCCGCAGTAACCTGTCGCGGAAGTGTCGAAGGCTGCTGAGGGGACTGTGAGGAGGATTGCGGGGAGGGAGACGTTAACTGACGCGCGACCGAGGGTAGAGGGGTAGCGTGAGACACACCTGACGGGGCAGGACCAGGGGGGGGCGGGGGTACCGGAAGAGCGGGAGCAGGAGGAGGAGAGGGTGGGAGGAAAAGGGGAGGGGGGTGAATCAGGAGACCTCGACAGGGGTAGCGAGAGTAGTAGGACACAGACTCGTCAAACCGGACGTCACGAGAGTCGAGGAACTGGTGGAGGGGCGGGTGGTAAAAGGTGTAGTCGGGAGAGTCCACCGGGAAACCTAGGAAGACACAGGGGATGGCATGAGCCGAGAGCTTGTCGGCAGAGGTGTCGCGGACAAGCGTAAGGCAGCCCCAGACACGAAAGGACGACCCAACCCCAGGGGACCCGGTCCAAAGACTGGTCGGTGAAGCCTCTAGCCGCGAGACACGCGGCTGGAGGTTCAGCTGGTGGGCGGCGTAGCGAACCGTGTAGAGCCACAGAAAATGGGGCGCACGGGCATGGATCATGGACGTGCGGGCGATGTCCATGACCAAGCCAATGCGGCACTCAGCAACCCCATTCTGCTGTGGGGACTCCGGAAGCGTCCAGGACAGTGAGATGCCCTGTTCGCCGCAGAATCCGCGAAGAATGCCGGAGCGAAACTCGCCCCCACGGTCGGAGTGGAGACAGGAGACATGACGACCAAGCGTGCCCTCAGTGGCCAGAATCCACCGGATCAGCGTGGAAGTCACCTCAGACTTCTTCGCGAGAGGAAACATTGTGGTGTACCTGGAGTAGTCTTCGACGACCACCAGAAAGTAGCGCTCCCTCTCAGGTCCCTGCGTAGGGGCAGGGCCCGAGACGTCGAAGTGGAGAGTCTGGAAGGGAGCAGTGGCCGGACGAAGGGAGGAGGAGTGCGGATTGGCGCGCAGGCGGCCGGCGACGCAAGGGGTGCACGGCGGTGCAGGCGAGGGAGGGAGCGACGCAAAGACGCGAGGGAGACCCGAAACAAGACGGTGACTAGTCATGCTGCGGAGGCGGGGGATCGACGGGTGGCCAAGACGGTGGTGCCACAAGATGGTCGGGTGGGCGAGAGACCGACAAGAGCAAGACGCAGCAACCTGACCAGACGCAGCAACCTGACTAGACACAGCAACCGGAGGGGACGCAACAACCTGACCGAACTCTGCTACCTGGGGGGACGCAGTAACCTGGCCGGACTCTGATACTTGGTGGGACGCAGTGTGCAGAACGAAGAGACCTGAGTGGGGCTCCCTGGCGAACGTGGCAAGAAGTGCCCCGGTGGAAGCATCCGTACAGATAGCTGTCCTCCCGTGCGCAGGAAAAGTGACAGTGATCCCACGGTCCTGAAGGTATCCAACACCCACCAAGTTCCGAGAGAACGAGGGGATGTAGAGACCAATGAGGAAACCAGAAGGGACAGCCGGGCATGGGAGAGTGGTCGAGCTGCGAGCGACTGCTGGTCCTGAAATAGGATCAGCCAGGGCAACTGGGACTGGAGCCGAAAGAGGAGTGACAGTGGTGTGGTTGTGAAAGAAGCACTGAGACGCGCCTGAGTCCAGCGTGAAGGGGAGCGACGCGACAGCAGTCATTGGCTGGACTAGTGACCACACACGCACCTACACTAAAAGTACAAGTACCTACACTAACAACAGGCAAAGGTCCTAAGCTAGGTACACGCAAGCCAAGAGATCCATACGTGACAGAATAAGCAGCATCCATAGACATATCAAACGTAGGGTAACCACTACGAGACAGACCGGGCCAGATCGGTGGCGTCGACTCTGGCCCAAAACGCTCACGGTATAGGTCGTCGAGGCGGCTGTAGCAGCGCTGTGCAGAGTGGTCGGGACGCCAGCAGGTAGTGCCAGCACCAGGGACAGTCAAGATCCGGTACTGGCAGGGGCCGACGTCGCGGCCACCGCGACGAGCCCCCCAGCTGGCTGGGCCGCTGCTGCAGCCAACGCTACCCGAACCACCAGGCCCCCACGGCTGCTGAGGGCGCCACTGCTGCTGAGGGCGCCACTGCTGCTGAGGGCTCCACTACTGCAACTGCCGCTGCTGTTGTCCCTGCTGCTGGAGAACTCTAGTGGACGCCATGGTAAAGGCTAGTGGGGTGTAGGAGCGGCATGCTAAGAGCGACTGGAGCTAGGAGCGAGGAGTGAGAACAGCTAGGAGCGCCAGGTGAAACTAGGCGAGGAACGGCAGGAGAAAACGAGGGCGTGGGGCGCCACTGCGGAGCGGACGGAGCGAGCGAGCGCTAGGAGGAACGGACGGAGCGGGCTAGGCTAGGCTAAGGGACGAACCTCATGATACCATCTCAATGAGTAAGCACAACGGAATGATAGGAATAGAAACGGATGGGATACAAATATGCAACCCTAACAACTGTACCCCCTAGACCCACTACAGCCTACAAGAGTTATTATAGTTTGACACTTTTAGGTTTGTATATTTGTACCCCATCTACTTTCTAGTTAATCATTCTGTTGTGTTCACTTTCTGAGACATAGTGATCAAGTTTTTTAACGATCAAAACATGTGAAGATTATTGTTAGAATCTAAGAAAGAATGAGAATGTGTGAACTAGGAAGGAATGGGAGTACAAGTACCAAACCC